ACAAAAAAAAAAAAAAAAAAAAAAAAAAGAAATAGCACCTTATAACTGCATGGAGGATGGGTAGGGGAGGTATAAGATGGGAAAAAGAGCATCTAACTGGAGCTGGAGGAGCATTGCAAATATGATGATATTAGAGCATAGCATTTGTGTGACATTGGAAAGGATACCAGGCATCTAAGTTATTCAGGAGATAGAATCATTAGGACTTGGAGACTGAGCTGGGTACTAGAGATAAAGACAAACAGAAAAATTGGGAGTGACACCCAGAGCTTCTGTGCCTGAAGTAAATAAGAGACAGAGGATAAGAAATCCTCTGAGGATTGAGGGACTGGTTATTAAAGCTAGCATTACCCATGACGATGTGAAGCCAGTAGCCTATGGAGGGATTTGAAATACAGGCATTTGTTTATTTAAAAAATATGCTGAGTGTGCATAATGTGTAAAACCTTCTTCTGTACATTTTAGAGAAAGGAAAAATGAACAAATTCCTTTTTCTTTTTCTTTTTTTAAATATTTTTTTAATATAAAATTGTGAGGTACAGTTAAGGGTTAGGTATATAAATGTGCATTGTTCAGGCACCCTTGTTGATAGGAGGTGTCTCCCCGTCCCCAGACAGAAATTGACTACCATTAATCCCACCTCCCATCCCCTCCCTACCTCCCCCATAGTTTCCCACCACTATCAATCCTTTTCTTATAGTGTTATGATAGATGTTCAAGGTCCACTATGTGAGTGAGAACACATGATACTCAGATCTTTGTTTCTGTGAGAGATCACTCAGTGTTATAAACTCTAGTTTCATCCAGGTTGCTATGAAATTCATGATTTTGTTCTTTTTTATGACTGCATAGTATGCCATCATGTATATGTACCACATCTTTTTCATCTAGTCCTCTTTTGATGGACAGCATGGTTGGTTCCAGGTTCTTGCTATTGTGAACAATGCTGTGAACTACACTGTTGGTGGGGGTGTAAACTAGTTCAATCCCTGTGGAAAGCAGTGTGGCGGTTTCAAAAAGCTCTAAATATCGACCTCCCATATGACCCTGCAATCCCCCTACTTGGGAATATACCCTGAAGAACTCAAATCACTCTATCAAAAAGATACCTGCACGCAAATTATTTTTATTTTTTAAACATTTTAGTAAACCTTCATCCTGTTAGGAGGTTTCCCATGTGTTATGCTTTTGCATCCTCACAAATGCCTTGTGAGATCAGATTATCCCCACTTTTCAGATAAGAAACCTGATGCTCTAGCAGGGTAACTTGCACAAGTTCATGCAACCAGAAAGATGAAGATGTAGGAATGAAACAGATTTTGCTACACCCGAAGTTCATGTTCTTTTCTCTTATTATAGTGTTTTTTGAAATTCTTTGTTTTTGAGGAGATTATGTTGTGATTGGGGAAACAGAACATAAAGAAGTTAATCACTGCACTATCAAAGATTTGGAACAGAGGCATGTATAATATGCCTTGGGCACCTAAGAACAGGGAAATTTATTGTGGTACAGAGGAGAGATTAGTGGTGATTGGAAAGAGGGCTCATGAAACCTTAACAGAGTAGGTACAGTGGGTGTTTACACTGCTTGGGGATAAGGCCTATGCCGGTTTGGATGGGGGTGGGGACAACTCTTAAAAGTCATGGCTAGTTTTTCTGGTGGTTTCTGAAGCTGAGCTGTGTGTCAGATTAGCACTAGAAGGTGGATAAACGTCCAGTGAAAAGGCAGGGGCAGGTAATTACTAGGACATCAAGATGCCAAAGTTAAGGGGAGCCCCAGAGCCAGAGTTGCAAACTGAGATTGAGAAAGAGTGCAAGTACCCACAACAGAGAAAATAAGTTGACCTCTGTGCCCTTCTAAAGCCCGAGATGGAGAAGTTTTGTGAGTCTAGCCAAGGGGGGTAATGACAGAAAGTGAAGGTGAGAACCTGATGATACTGGTGGTGGGGAAAGGGAAGGAGGTAGGTGTGAGGCAGGGACTTGGGACTCGGTGAAAATTGAGGCAGGGAGTTCAGTTGCTCAAATCTCACTGTTTGGAAGACTGTCTCCCTCTTTTACTATGGAAGGACAAGATAAAAAGCAAGAAGCCAATGGCTTGGCTTGCCTTTGTTTTCTGAGCCTTTACTTCTGTTTTGGCATAAGGTCAGTCCGATAGAAAGGAGGAACAAGTAGCTGGTGGTATAACTGGAATGATGAGCCGCTGTAAGCAGTTCAGTGTCACCAGTTTCTCAGCCCAGACACACCCCATTGTTGTCCCTATGTAAAGCATCAAACCTTTTGCTTAGTGTGGTCTCATGCAACCATTGGACCCCACAGGTTCTTTGGCACTTCCTGTATCTCCAAGGCTCCCCTTGTTTCAGGCCCAGTGGAGCAGACCTGAAGTTGGTTGCACCCTAGTGATCTCAGGAAACAGTCTGTCCACTCTCTCCATGGCCTCCGCATACAGCTTCTGCATAGAGGGCCAACTGCTGGGAACTTGTGCCCCTCCACAGCACCACACAGAACCAAGGGCTGAGCAACGTGGGCAACAGTCAGTCTCCTGTGGCTCCTTTCACCCACAACTTCACAAAAGGCAAAAAGTAGGTCTCTGAGAAAGGCCGGGAGCAAAGGGGAGTGAGCTCAGGTAGTAAGCTGATGCATTAGTCTAATTGCTCTTCTAAAATTAATGGGGCTTTTTATCTTCATAGAACACTTTTGAGCACTCATGTGATTTTGAAACAAAGAGGGGAGAGCCTGGCTCCCCTTTAAACATAGTTTCCATTCAGTAAAACAATCTCTCCCTTTCTTTTTTTCTCTCTTATCTGCAGATCAACGGATTATGGCACCACCTATGAAAAGCTGAATGACAAAGTGGGTTTGAAGACTGTCCTCAGTTACCTCTATGTTAATCCTACCAACAAAAGGAAGGTAAGAGGAGAGGTCAGTGGGTCCTGAATACTCCTACTGGGTAGTAGGACTACGTAGGGCCAGGAGAAACGAAAACACTCAGCAGCCATAGAATCACTAATAAAGGCATGGTTTATATGCCAGGAACTTCACAAACAGCCTTGATATTAAGAACAATAATAGCAGGAACAGCAGCAATACCACCAATAAAACTGTATAACTTTGTAAGAGGTTTCTCTGTCTTATCTCATTTATTCTCATGATGAATCTGTGGGGTATAAATTATTATTGTTCTCATTTTTCAGGTGAGATTAAGTAACTTTCAGGTAACTTTCTACCCTGAAGAAGACAGTGGTAACATCTAGAATTTGAGCATGGGTTTGCTTGACTCCAGAGTTGAGCATGAGTTTGCTTGACTTTCCACAGTCTCCCTCTTGCTGGTCTGTTTTCTTGGAGCCTCTTATTCATGGGGAGTCCATTTCTGCCAAGGAAAGGAAAGGCACCTTTTGGATTCTTCAACTTGATTCTGAGCTGTTTCTGAAGGAAGGGAGAGCAGACTCGGCTTCTGCTTCTCTGTTTTCCTCTTGACTTAGCAGCCAGAATGAAATCATGTAAGTTCAGTCCTTGGTCATGGAAACCTACTGGGAGGAGGAAACCTGGATTCCATGGAACAATGGACAGTTTTTAAAAATACTGCACAATATAAGCCGGACTCGGTGGCTCAACCTGTAATCCCACACCTTTGGGAGGCTGAGGTGAGTGGATTGCCTGAGCCCGCGGGTTCGAGACCCACCTGGGCAGCGAGACCTCATCTCTACAATAAATCAAAAAATCAGCCGGGTGTGGTAGTGCATGCCTGTAATTCCGGCTACTTGAAAGGCTGAGGCGGAAAGATCGCCGGAGTCCAGCAGGTTGAGGCTGTGGTGGCCAGGAGCGGCCACTGCACTCCAGTCTGGGCGACAGAGTGAGACTCCAACTCAAAAAAATTAAAAAATAAAAATAAAAATATTGCACAATGTATTGTCTTTGGGGACATGTGATCTTTCCCCAGCTAGGAAAGTACTGTTGTTTAGAAACTCAGGCAGACCTGGTTCAAATGAATGCACCAAAATGACCACATAAAAAGTCATTTTAATATTTCTAAAAGGCTAAAAAAAAAAAAAAAATGGCATAGCCAAGCTCTCTTCTTGCAATCTGATTTGCATTCCCCAGTGGCTTTGCAAATGTTTCCTTCATTGAGGTAAACTCAGGAGTGAGCTTCAAACCTTTCTGCAGATGTCCTGGATCTCTGATTTCAATGTGGCAGAGTTCAAGCTGTGGCTGGGAATGGTGACTTTTTTTGCTGCTCTAAGTAGAATAGCTAACATGAGTCCATGCACCTCCTCCTCACCTCCACCTCCAGTTCTCGTAAATACCCCCAGAAAATGAGGAAGCAGAATTGCTGGCTCTGGGTTCAGTGTTGGTGATTGATAACTGTAATATGCAGCAGCTGCAAAGTCTTCCAGACCCCTAGACTGTGCCCACTGACCAAGTGCCAACGCCTTGATCCTTAAGGTGGCTGATTATGTGCCTATTATGGGTTTTTACTGAGTAGTTTTTTTCTTTGTTGCAAAGAGTTGTTATTTTCACATTTTTCAGTACTGTTATTTGAATTATTGACTGTTAGAGCTGAAAAGAACCACAGTTTTCATCTAGACAAGTGGTTATTTATGGGTTTTTTTGGTCAAGTTTATTTATTTTTATATTGACACAAAATTGTATGTATGTATCATATGCAGCATAATGTTTTGAAGTACATATACATTGTGGAATAGTTAAATCTAGCTAATTAACAAATTCAGTACCTTATATAGTTACCATTTTTGTGATGAGAACACTTAATATTCACTGTTTTAGCACTTTTCAAGAATACAATCAGTAACTGTAGTCACCATGCCATATAATAGAGCTTTTGAACTGATTCCTTCTATAAAACTATAATTATTTATTTTTGACTAACATTTCTCCAACCTTGCCTCTTCCCTAACCACCCTGTCTTCTGGTAACTCCTGGTAACCCCATTTTACTCTCTAGTTTTATGAGATTAACTTTTTTAGATACCACAAATGAATGAGAACATGAGATATATATCTTTCTATGCTTGACTTGTTTCATTTAGCATAATATCTTCCAGGTTCATCAATGTTGTTGCAAATGACAGGATTTATTTCTTTTTCAAGGCTGAATAGTATTTCATTGTGTATATATGCCACATTTTCTTTATCCATTCATATATTGATGAATTCTAGGTTGATTCCATATTTTGGCTATTGTGAACAGTGCTGCAATAATCACTGGAGTATAGCTATCTTCAGTATGCTGATTGTATTTCATATGAATTATTTCTTACCCAGTATTGAAATTACTAGATCATATGGTAGTTTTATTTTTAATTTTTTGTGGAATCTTCATACTATTTTTCATAACAGCTGTACTAATTTATATTCCCACCAACAGTGTGTTTAACAGCTTTTGAACTGCAAATCTTTTGCACTTGTGATTAAAGTTCTAGACCTCCTCTCTAGAAACATGCCTATACCACAAATATTTTCATGCATTTTGAGGGATTTGTGAACATCCCAAATCCCACCATGGACCCAAAATTTCCATGGAATCTCAGTTAGGAATCATTTACCTATATCTGCATGCTGTTAGAAGGTCAATTCAATTTTATTGGCATCAGCTCATCCTTTGCACTATTTCCTCCTATACAATCACAGCCTACAGATTCAAAATTGCTTCATGATGTTGAATTACAGCTTGATGTCATTTCCTTGATGGACACACAATAAAAACTGACTGAATCAGGTCAGTGAAGATCTGCATCAATTTTTAATCTCCCATTCTTCCTCCTTGAGAAGGAAACTGAGGCCCACAGCTTTCTTCTGCTCCACCTAGGCCACTCAGTGGGTTACTGGCAGCCTTGGCAGTTGGCTCATGACTTCCAGTTTAGTGCTCCTCTCATCTCACTTGAGTGCCTTGGGGTCACTGGATCACAGTGAGGGTTATATGCTTTGGGAGAAGCAGGAACTGGGTGTTTGGCATATGAAAGATATCCTTATCTCTGTCCTACATGTGGATCACAACAGGATTAACCATATTTTCATATAGATTAGCTGCTTTGTGAGGACGTCCCTAAGTAGCCTATGAACAGCCTATACCTGTTTGCATCCACTTTGAGATTTATCTGTCATTTGGGATTTATCTCTTGGGGACTATCATAATAATGTTTCATATGGTCTTTTACTGTTTTTCTGCTCCTGATCATCTGAGCTCTTCTTAGCACAACTTAAGTTCTTAGAAGTGAGGGAGACAAAGGGCGGGTTAGGCAGATGCTGAGGGTTGGCAGGAACTTAGAGCTGGGATTTGGAGATCACTGGCACAGAAGTATCACCTCTGTTATCCTTCCTAGAGGTGATATTCAGGCTATGAGCTCTCTGGAGGAATTTCGCACAGGAATCTACTGTGCAGTAAACAGAAGTTAGGTCTATCTTGTTTTTCTTCTCTGAGAAACATCATCAACGTACAATTACCACCCACTTAAAAGACACTGTGACACAGAAAGTTAAAAGCACAGTACATTTTCTTCACTTAGATTGGGGAAAGACAAACATCAGTCTAATAGCATGGATTTATTTTTTATTTGTTGAAAATAGCAATAGGAAGTAATGTTCTTAAGGAGCCTATATAATCCTGAAGTGCTTTCTGGATCATCAAAGGAAAGATGAAATTGAATTCTATTTCATTTCATTAAGTGGTATGAATTGTATCTGAGCCTCTAGATGTTGATGATGCATATGTATTCTACATGATGAATGGCTTTCTTCTAACCTGAATATTCAGTTTAGTAGACGTCCCCCTTCTCCAGCCACTTAGGCCAAATGATGATTTGATATAAATGAAGCTACTATTATTTGTTTCCTTGTTAGTCTAGAACTCTGGTTCATGGGTCATTACGACTTGTAATGCAACTTTTTGTGAAAGTGTATTTCTTAAATATGCCTTGAAGTTTAAACCTGTGGTCATCTGAATTCTCATCTCAGCTTGTGTTAAGTAAGATTCTTTGGATTCCCTCAGTCCACAAGTTATCTGTAGCTCCCCATGTTCATCAGCCAGTTAATGGTAGTAGTCTCTGGCAGATTTTTGAGCTCATCTAGGAGAAGCACTTGCTTTTCACCTAATGAGTTATTTATTTAACAGATGGCTGCTGCTTTCCTTGGAGGCTATGAATATGTCAAATGAGATCTGTTGCCCCTGGCAAAACAGCAAATTGAGCTTGTATTTGTATAGTTGCTCCCAAAGCTAATTGTTGATTTTTTTAAAAACACTTTTTAAAAATTTTATTTTATTATAGACATGGGGAGTACAAGTGTGGATGAACTACATAGGTAGACTGCATGCAGGTGAAGTTTGGGCTTCCAGCTGGCTCTCATTCCCCTGGCAGTGGACCTGGTACCCTTTGGGTTGTCACAGCACTTTTTGACAACATAAACATTTTCAAATACAGATAGTTAATACACTGTGTGTAGTTTTCTTCTAGAAGTAATATTCTTAGCACTAGCTGAGCACTTACTATACTAAGCTCCTTTTAAAGAACTTTATCAGCATGATATTAATCCTACCAGTCAGTTTAGAAAGCAGGCAAAATAAGAAAATAGATTGTTGTAAATTACCCAAGGCTGTGATAACTGTGAATAGTAATTTTGCAGCAGTCTTGCCAGTGTTTTTTTTTTTTTTTTTTTTTGTTAAATTTGTGAGGTACAATTCAGGGTTAGGTACATAAGTGGTCATTGTACAGGTGAAGTTTGGGCCTTCCTTTGGTACTCACTTTGCCTGGTTTGGAATTAGGTACCCTTATTAGTGTTATATGCACCCCCCCACCCCTACAGTGACCCACTACTGCCAGTCCCTTTCATGTAGTATTATAATAAATGTTCAGGGTCAGTGAGTTCATGTTAGAGACAAGTTAGTCAGGATACATT